CGATGGTATCAAATAACCTGAAGCTCTCAAATCCTTCCTAAAAAAAGCCTTACCTACCCTATTTCCTGCCTTCCCAAACAAGCTTAGTTTTAGTCCTTCTCTAAAAGCTTTTAAAAATACTGAAGAAGGATCATTTTACACTGTGAAAACCCCTTTGGTTGCAGTAAGATTCATGCCAAATTGCCACTTGCCCACGTTCCTTTGATGCACAGATCTCCCTCTCTTTGTTTAGGCTGTAAACTCTTTGGGACAGGAGCCTTGCCTTGAAGCAGCTAAAATAACACGCACGTTTCCAGCCCTGCACAATCAGCCTCATCTTTCCCAGGCAAACAGCCAGTGCTCAGACATTTCTGCTTCCAAGTTCTGAGAGCCCCATTTCACATTCCTCTCCTTCACCTCTATTTTGTAAGTTTTCTCTTTTCTGCCTCCATTAATAAGCGTGGAAGCTATCAGCAGGGCTCCAGGAGCCAACCAAATAAGGGAATCATTTCCTTTGCTCAGCTGCTGCTTGTACATGCCCCCAACTTTCTGTGACCCTCTCCTGGTTTGATATGCTGGTAGGGGAAGGGATAGGGGGGAACTGGGCTAGAAATAAGCCAATTAATGATTTCTCAGCAAAATGCAACAGCCCCAAACCTACATCTTCCAAACCACAGAAGAATTTTCTTTCAAAATACTTTCCCCTCTGTCAGCAGTCTGTGTCTGCCCTCCCCCACTCCTCCGCTCCACCCCCCCTTTGTCAGACCTGCTTCTGGAAAAAGTCTCTCTGTTCCAGAAGCAATGCATTAATTCAACATGGACTTTGTTTTACTTGCCTAAATATGCAGAGAGAGAATGACTGTCCACAGTTATCAAATGAGTTCATCTGCAGACAGAAGCTCTTCAGCCTTTGTCCCTCTTCCCTCCCCTGCTTTTTGTTTTAAATAATAGAAAAACTTGTGCCAACAGATAGAAAAGAACAATAATGACATTTCTTCTAAACAGCTTTGTATTGTGCATGCTCTTACTTCAACCAAGCAAGGACCAATAAGCATTTACTACTTTCCTTGGAGAATAGAGCAAAAGAAAACCCAAACAAACAAACAAACAAACAAAACCAAAAAACCCAACCAAAGGGGAGAACAAACTAAGTCTAAAGCTGCTCTGTGCTGGTTTGATTTAGCACAGCAGTCACTCACAGTCTTCTGCTGTGAATGACAAACATTTCATCACCATCAATCACAAGCAGGAAAGAGTGAAAACAGGGGGAGAAGTCTCATGGAGGGGGCTGTCAAAGAGGGCAGAGCAGCTCTGGTGACATGCAGGAAAGTGTAAGAGTGCACAGGCACATCAGCCAGGCTGGATCACCAGTACTGACCAAGTGCTCTTTCCACAGATACAAAACTGGCTGAAGAACCACCCACCTGGGCTAGGACATGGGGTTCCACTATTAAAACCAACTCAGGATGAGGTTCAAGTATCAAGACCACTGGGTTACACAGCTGCCTTCACTCTACACACCACCTTTGCCCATCAAGCTCCCTCACTCCCTAAGACAGGCAAGCAGTGGGAAGTTCTAACTTCAACTCTTCCAATGAATAGCTTATTCCTTGTGCTAGAAGCTACTCCTAAATAATTGGCTCATTTGGCAGAAATCCAGCCCATTTGTCACTATATTGTTGGTATGAATAACTTTAAAGTGCTTTCCTGCATTGTAACAGCTCCAGTTGAAAGCACTGGGCACAAAACCAAAGCAGCAATAACTTAGGTCAGATATCTGGCATAGAAGACAGGCATGTAACATCCCAATTTTGCCAATCAAACTGTAAAAGCACAAATGACTTTTCATTAAAATAAGCCTGTAAATAATCCTAAATTCCCTTCCAGGGGAAGTTCCAAATAACTGCATGTGTAGGACTACTATTTAACCCTGTACAAAACATGAACTCTGCAGCTTGCAGGTCTAATGAGTGTCAAGTCTGAGGAAAACTACAAACTTTCAGGCTTCTCCTCACAACCCATATTTGTATTACAGGAGTTTCAGAATGTATAGGAAAAAGTTTAGAAAATGTACCACATTTAACATTAAAAAAACCGCAAGCTTTGCAGCTACATAAGAAACACAAACCAATGTAATCTCTTAGATCTGGGCACACCACAGACCATTTTAAAGAGAAAAGTTCAGCAACAAAAGTCATCTGTTTCTCTTTGTAGAAACAGACTACAGCTGTTCCCTTTGCAGATTTTTTTTCAGGTTTAAAAAAGGAGCACTACCATGATATTCAACAATTTGTCTTTCATATTTCTTATTCACAGACCCAGTAACATTGCTTCCAAATATCTGGAGGTCAGAGATGCCTACCCTCTTCAAATGGCTTTGGAAAGGTTAGAAATAAATAAGCCACATGCTACCCCAAATAATTTTCCCCCATCAGGCACAGTCTAACAGGGAAGCAAACACTCTTCCCTTCTGCACTCCAGCTTTCTCAGTGTTTGTAATATTCAAGTCACTTAGAAAATTCTGCCCTTCAGAAGCAACGCTTAATTCCTTTGATTCTGGCCTTAAAGTGATTCTATCACAAGCCTAACTGATAAAAATGCTTATTAGTGGTACCCAAGCACAAATACAAGGGAGGCATCCTTTACAGCTTGCTTTTAAACTCCAGTGAACTCCTGGAGCTAACCCTTCCAGCAGCAAGGACTATTTCAAGCAGAATATTGCTGGGTGGGAAGAATTTCAGCCAAAATGTTTAATTGAGTTTGTTTCCAAGGAAGAGGCCAAGTGGGGAAGGGGAAGCTGTTCTGCTTGTGTTGAACAATTCTGGCAACCTCCTGTTTGAACAACTTGAGTTCTTCTGTGCTTTGGAGCAAGGACTTGAAGGTTGGCAGGGGAGTGTATATATACACTTTGTGCATTGTGTCATTTCAGTGCAAATTCACCCAAATTTGGCCTTGTTAGAAGTCTTCTGGGCTGGGATGGGAGGGGAAGATGGGAGAAAATCTCTCCTGACCTCATATAAACTGTGTTTTGTTAGAGAACAGCAGGCTGGACACCCAGAGAGACTCATACTTTCAACAACTGCAGTTTGGAAGGCGTAGATGTCTGTACAGGCTGCAGTTCTGCCAGATCATGAAGCCACTGTCTCCAACTTGTGCCCATTTATTCAAGTCACTTTATTTCCAATAAGCCTGCTCTTGTAAGGATTCCCTAAGCTATCATTTCTGATGACAATAAACAGCTTATTTTTAGCCAGCCTGGCTAGCTGTGGCTGAAATGCATTGGAGAGACCTTATAGAAGCAGCCCAACCACAGAGGGTGCCCCAAACCTTGGACAAAATCACAGATTGCTGAACTCTGTGCCAAGTCCAAGTGCCAAGATTCAGTCTGAGATAAAGCACATATTCTCCAACACCCTCAAAATCCCAGCCCTGCTTGGGCCTAATAGGGAAGAAACTGTAATGAAGCAAGAAAAAAGCAAACATTCAAGAGATGAGGGCAGCCTGTACTGGGGACGACTGCCAGGGAGGACACTGACAGTGGTCAGAGGGCAGGTCTGGAGAAGATGCACACATGGTGGGCATCAGAATCCAAGAGGGAAAACCTGGGAATGCAACTTAGGTCCTTGAGTCTTACCAGCTGGCTGCTAAGGGACTGGTTATGCAGTCTTAATATTTCATGGAGTTTTGTTTGAAATATTGTACAAATATAAAAGAATGCATTTGTTTTCACCAGTAAATAAATTGTTTAGAAACCTGATTCCCATAAATTCTCCCAGTTAAATTGCCAGGAAGCATCTAGCAGAGTTTGACAAAGCAAAGTCAGTAGCTCCCAAACAGCTGGGGCACAGAAATAAGCACACTTTTTCTTCCCTCTCAAGACAGCATGTGTGCTTATGAGGATTTTTTGGTGCCTTCAGGGTGCATTTGGTGGCTGAGAAGCAAGACCTTGTCTTCTGAAGGTAGTTTCAGTTTCTGCAAGGTCAAGCTATGGCAGGTAGAACAGCTATTGTTGGTTTTGTTCCTCAATAATAATTTGAAACAAAGTTAAAGGGTCACTGAAAAGCTGGGTGTGCTTGAGACAGGAGTCTGCACATAGTATTATCATCAAATCCAGAAGGTAAATTTGCCACTTTAAAAGTACATTCCTTAATAGAAAAGGGCACCTTTCCATTAACTGGGAATCATCTCTTGTGCTTGCATTCAGATCCATTCCCTCAGTAAGGTTGTCTGAAAGTTCCAGAGGTGCAAATGGTGCTTTGTCCCACCTTTCCTTTCCCAAGGGCAATGAACACATCTGGATGATTTTCCAAGTAGAGCAGGAGATAGCTAGGGATACCTTTGGTCTGGGAAAGATGATTCACCTGCCCTTAAGAAATACTTTGCTTATAGGGCTCCTCAGACTTCACCCAAACTCAAGGTGTTCCCCCCTACCCTGTCATACTCACTGTTGGACCAGCAAAAGTTGAAAGAACACACAACAAACCAAACCAACTAAAATGCTGCTAATGGTGGCATTTTAAATACCTAGGAATGATTCCAAAAACTCCCAAAAGTTCTCAAGACTCTCTTTAGTACCAAGCACTGCTTGCAAGGAAGAGAGGGGAATGCAACTGGATTTTCATCTTTCCACACCACACACTTTTCCAGTGTGCACATCTCCAACCACGACTTTTTGGCGTTCAACTCATTTTAACAGCCCTGAAAGTATCACTTGTCCTTACTGAGGCAGAAAAAACTGAGCACAAATATGCCCAAGTTAAAACACAACAGATGTGAGCTTCCCCAACAGCACAAAGTCAGACTGCAGAGCTGCCCTTGATGACCAGCCTCCAGCTCCTGGGTGCCTAATCCTGGCTCCAGCCACGCTCAAGCTGTCATGTACGAAACCCACATCTGCACTCTGGTAGTGAGGGGCCAAAGCTCCAAAGTGCCAAAGATGCAGGTCCTGGCACACAGCTGAAGCTGCAGTGTGGCTTTTGGTGCCCCTGAGAGGCTGGTGGCAGAGGAAGCTGTGAATTCACCTCGGCTCTGCTGCCTGTTGACTATCCCGCCCAGCGTCCATCGCCGGTCCAGGCGCCTCAGGTGAGCCTTGCGTCGCTTAGAAACTAGTTTGGAACATGGATGGAAACAAAACAAAGGGGAAAAAAAAAGAAGAAAAAAAAAAAAGTGATGGGAGGGTGAGGAATAAAAACAAAACACGGTATTTACAAGCACTGGTCTTGTTAGTGGGAATGAGTTAGGTGGGATGCAGATGTTTTGTTTTAGTTCATACAGTACAGTGGAACAAGTTAACTTCTTGAGCTTGAGCAATGTGAGCCATCCAGAACTGTCACAAATTGCCACTCTTGCTGTTGGCATTTCTTAAAAAGCAGTAATTATAATTAAAAAAAAACCAAAAACATACACACACTCCAAAACAAGCTGCACAACTTAAGACAGCTTGTCCAAGGAGAGTGCAGTGGCAGGACACATCATCCTTGCTGTTGTATCTCCTAATTCAGCTGCATGATCTTTGAGGAATTCAGTCTATTGCACATGAAATCAAACCCAAGGCCTCTAAACCTCTCTAAGAAAAATTATCACACTATAAACAAACCCACAAACTCTTATGTAAGTTCCCTCATAAGAGCAGCACTCAGGAACTGAACCCAAGTGAAAAGTCTGATGTGCTTTGAGGACATGACTTGCATTCATTGCCCCAGCTGGTTCTCATGATCAAAACTTCTAATATACAGATTACAATATCAGGAAAAAACTAACCTTGCAATTATTCATCAGGCTCAAGAAGCTAACAAGCCAGGACTGAATGGTAGTTACATACTCAAACAATAACTTATACTTAAAGTATAAACAAAGACAAGACACTTATGAAAAGGGCACTGTGAGAGCAGCTGTGCACAGAGGACACCACTTGTTTTCTGAAGCACATACTTAGATTTCTACTCAGATTCTTCTTTTGCCTGCACAGGTGTGAAAGACACTGGAACCATTAGACTGGCACAGAAACACAGCCAAACACTTTTCCATTCAAGGGCTTCCATCCCAATTTGGCAACTAGTGCAAGGTTGCTAGGGGCTGCCGCAAAGCAATGACACATATTGTGAGGGAGTGATAGCTAAGTGCAAACACAATCATTTTACCAGTGGTGCTGGGAAGCTGTTCATAAACCTTGATATCACATCATTAATAATAATTCAATTCTGTATATGTGCACTTATTTAGGGATTGTATTCTTATACCAGATTAGGCACAGTTGTCTTCTAGAACTGTGCTCTGTTGGCAATCAGGCACAGCAAAATTATTTGATTGGGAAATCATTACTGGACAAGAAAAAAAAGTAACTTCACCAAAGAGTGGCTTTTGACTTTTTGTCCTTTATATCTGTCAGGGACTTAGACCAGACTTTTACATCCAGCCCACTCTCCTCAATTTCTCCTTTGCTGTAAGGCCCAAACCTTTCCATACCACCCTAAGTGGAGGTGTGGTGAATGGTGTTGAACAGGTACATCATGTAGTCTCTGGCGCTCTGTACTTCCCCTTTGATACCACGTTGGTCAAAAATCAACCACAAATTTTCAGATGAGCCAAATCTCAAAATTTTAGATAGCTGTGGTTTTGGCTCATGGAAATCAGTGATCCTCTTGGAAGCCCATGGAGGGACAAAAGATGAGCAGATTTAACCTGGAGACTTTCCCCAAATCAACAGGACATTAGACTGCCAGTTACACACATGCTACACAGGGAGACCACACAGGACACCTTGCTATAGCATATAGCAGAGAGAGAAGTTAAGTTGCAATAAGGCTGCCTGTGTTAGGAGATTTCTATACAAGAAAGGAGAAATTAAATGCTGAATCTAAAGGCTTGCAGGGTGGAGAGGGGCAGAAAGGGTTGAAACTGCCTCAAGGTGTTGATACAGAGCAGTCAGCTTGCTCCTTCTGACACTGGGATTTGGGAGGATTTTGCCATCCAGGAACACCCCTTGAAAACAGTGGGTCACACAGATCCACCACATCATGTCCTCACAACGTACAGCCATCCCCAGTGACAGCCCTTTTATACCACAATGATGCTTCTGTATGAGCCAGGGTTTTTTCCTTAAAAATACTGAATTTTGTCATTTTGCCCAGACGGTCATGCCACAGTCACCAGAAACGCTGCTTATTAACAAGTGTCTACATCTTTGCAGACATTATTTTAGCATGTTTACTTTATTAGCTCCTGTAGCTGTTAAAAGTTTCTTTAGATTGATTTCTGATTGTTTTCCAAGACTTGCAAGATGTGTTGGTCTAAACACAGGCCTGGGTAACAATCAGTCTGCCTTCATCCAGACAAAAATGTTGTGCAAGCTCAGGTGCAGGGAGGAAACACTTCTGTCTTTCTCAGGGAACATACTATTTAAAGAGACACATGAAAACATTACTGCTGTATTAGTAGAGGCAGGATTATTAGCAAGATGTGTTCAGCACCCCTGGGCCTGCCACAGCAGAGCAGACTTCAAGGTTTGCCTGGCTTGTGGACTTGTTCCAGGCCTGTTCAAATGGGGAGGGACAAGGGGCTGATACACAAAGCTCCCTACATCAGTGTTTCTGTGCTTTCCAAGTTGGGGAGCAGAGATTGGACAGCTGCAGGAAGTCAATGTCTGTTGGAGTCACTCTGAAACTTGTGCAAGCTCTAAATTGTGGGGCTAAGGCATTTATCCACTAGAGGTGCCTTCCTCCTCAGTTACATCAGAGCTCATTTCTCCTGCCTGCCTGGAGAGAGCTGGCCAGTTTTCTGTCTAAGCACAGTCACTTTGATACACCTTTTTAAAGACAGTGAATCCAAGTAATTACTTCTTCTCCTATAAAGTAATTATATGGAGAAAAACAGCCCAAGTAAAGAAAAACTGGAGGGGAAGAAACAAAGAATGTAGGAAGTCTTAGCTTAGACGGCTAATAATATAAACCAAAGTTACTAAAAAGCAAGCAAGCAAAATCTGGGGCACATAAAAGCAGCTGCAGAGGTTATGCAATTACATCTGTCACTGAGATGGAACTGAGCAGAAAGGGAAGGGCAGTCTCAGGTTTCAGTATATCTGGATTTGGAGTAAGGCAGGGAGCAGGACTGCTGACCATAGCTGAAGAGAGCAGTGTAATGGATTAAAAGGGACCAAGAGGAAGGAGATAAGGAATACTTGATAGATTTTCCATTACCCAGAACAGATTGCTGGGTGGCAGCATCCCTGTGCAGAGTACACTCCAGAGGGCAACATGAAAGAGAAGAAGAGCATGAAGTGAAAGCAGTTTAAGCTATAAGGCTATGAAGCACACACCACATTTAAGAGTCAGGAGAAGGGAGGAAGCTACAGACCAACAGTCAAGGCTTTCTTCAGTGCTTGCAGAGCAGAGCAGTAAAGTTTTGGTCTTTAATAACAGGGAAGCTTTACTCACTGCTTTTGCATCCCCTGAGATGTTGCATCCTACTAGACTGGTTCCTGACCTACCAGTCTACACCAAGATTTCAATAAGACACAGATGTCACCCTTGGAGCCCAGCACAAAGTCTGGTTCTGCTTGTGTGCTTTGTTAATGGGCAGATGGTCACTCCAACACATCTCTAAGCCTCCTGCCTGTGCTAAGGAAAGGTCAGCTGAGTTTCACATACATTTTACACAAGTGTCATGTCAAGAGGACCTAGATTTAGCAACAGATTCACTAGAATGGAGCAAATGGTAATAAAAGTGTCCTTTGTACACAGTTGCTACATGAGAATCCCATTAAGATGTGGTTAGTCTTTCATAATGGAACTGAGGAACATGCAATGCTGAACTATTCCATTTCTGGAACCTGAATTAAGCATCTTTAGTTTAAAAAAAAAAAAAAAGATGAAAGCAGTGTGGCTAAATACATATACATGACAAATGGCATCTCACTTTTAACAGAATGAGACCATACCAATTAAAATTACCTTTCCACACAACCACAGACCATAGCAAACAGCAGTGAAACTATTTTCAAAGATTAATTTAAAGGAAATTAATGAGAAGCAACCATTAAAGTTAAATCTCACTCCTTTCAATGGCCTGTGGCTCTATCATGCATCTCCTTCCAATTAGAAGCTCTCACTTGGGGGAAAAAAGCATAAAGCAAGAGAAGACCAGTTTTCTCTTGGTAATAAAAAGCTTTCCATACCTTCCCCAAATTTAGATGTGTTGATGTCAGAATCATCTCTGGTTCCATTTTGGGATTCCAGGTATGTAGCAGGGACCCATCCCTGCTCCTCTGCTGTGCTCACAAACCACCAACCTACAAAAAGAAGCAAAAGAAGTTTCTCAGTCAACATTTAGAGAAACAAGAATAATAAAATGCTACAGAGAAGATGACAGAGTCAGCAGCTTTGAGATATGTTTGAGATATTCTGCATGTTTGAGATATTCTGCAGCTTCCTAGAACAAGAAAGGGTTTAGTGCTATCATACCATTTCTATCAGATCCTCTCCCAGTGGTAGTGTGCAGCCTTGCTAGAAAAAAGGTGCAGTGAAGCAAATATCAATTTACTTTAAGAAATTCAAAGTCCATCCATGACAACTTTGACTGAAATTCTCTAAGTCGGTTGCTCCAAGCTGATCTTGCTATAAGCACATCTACAGTACCAAAACATTTTGTATATGTAAATATGTACATGGGCACATATTAAACAGCACAAACACTGCCCAAATCCTAATATGAAGTATTACAAAAGGCAGAACAGGATACAAAAGTGCTTCTAGAGCACTTGTAACCACAGCTGGTGTTTAACAAACATGACCTGAATTCAATACCCTGGGAAGCTGGAAAGTACTGCACAGAACAGAAATAAAGACAGAAAAGCCAACTGAAATCTGACTTCAGGTCATAAGCACCAGTTATTTGTCTTCCCACCTGAACATCCAAGTTTCAACCAGTATCTACAAAAATGTTAAGTATTCAGCAATATATAAGGATATAACCTTTAGGTCATATCTGTGGATGGATGAATAAAATTATATGCATGCCAGTTTCAGATTAAATGCATTCCAACTGTAACTATCCTTGCCTCTTTTCTTGCTTGATTACATGGATTTATTGAATTCTCCAATGATTTTGACATAGACTCACTCACCCAAGAACTTGCTGCTCTCAGATAAAAGCACAACTAGATTCTCCTCCATTCAGATAAGGTCTGAGTTAAGACAACAGGAAAATAAAAAGTCTAACAGGTAAGCAAACCACTTCTGTTGTCTGTGATAGCCCAGTTTCCCCAGAAAGCATAAGCTGCTTTGTCAGGACCATGCAAACTGTTGCCCATTACCACCCTTCCAGCTTCCCCAAAGGGAGTTGGGAAAACAGCTATTTCTGCACATGCCCCTCAGAACAGTTTATACACTTTGATGGCTGTCATAAACACAGCAAATTTCACACAAGCCTGCCTGTGAAGAGCAAAGGTGCCAGCCTGGGCTGTAAAGAGATGGGCACCAACACTAGTGAGCTGTGAGGTGGCCACACATCCCTCCCACAGCTGGGATCCCACAGCCCAGCCCAGCGAGGGGGAAGGAAGGTCTGGGCTCTGCTCCCATGCCACATGCAACTGTCTGTAAGAGAAAAACCACCCTGCTGAAACAATGCTCAAGTGTTCGTGCTAAAAGTCACCCAAGTTCAATCCAAAGCCTGTCATGGAAGATTTTACCAGAGAACAGTAGCTACAAACCCTTGCCTTCCTCCCTGGGGCATGTGGCTGGGAGACAATGGACCCCAAGCAGCAACCCCTCGCATGCCCCTGGGCAGCTCCTAGGCAGCTCTATTTATTTACTCTCCAAATTCAGACACAGATTTCCATCTTCTGGCCCAGCAGAGGTTTGGAAACTTTGCTTCACAAGGCTCATGGTTGGAAAGTTTAAATTTAGTTATTCTCCCTCAGCAGGAGGTGGACTCTCCTGCCACAAAGCCCACAGCAGCGAACATGCAGGACCTGCCAGACCGTTTCAAAAACACGTCCTCATGGTTGTTCCTGATTTCACCAGTAACATATCAACACGGGTAGCAAACACAGTTTAGCATACACTTATAATTAGGCACAAAATGTGAGAAGCTGGCTTCCAGCTGATTTTAATTAGACTGGAATAGTTTACCTAAACTCTTCCTCAGAAAAGTTAACATGAGCAAAAAGGACTTGCCTACACTTAAAAATGTGCATTTGGGCCAAATTCAAACCATGGTAAAACCATCTTTGGAGGGCTGGGTGGCACTTCCTTGACACCAACCCCGTGCTAGCCCATTTCACAATACAGCTCCTCTAGTTTGGCTCACTAGCCCCAGAGCCAAGGTCAGATCTTTTGCTTGGGGCCATTGTGTAGCTGAGCCTCCATCCATCTAAACATGACTCAGGCTAAAGCTCCTAATTGCCACAGAACTCATAAAGCTGTAATTTCTTTCTAAAGATTTCCTTTATAAACTCTGCACAAGGGTAAAGTATAAATGAGAAACCTACACAGCTACTGAGAAATCATAGCATTTGTCTAAACTCAGGAAAAACCAGTCCCCCACCCTGAAATTCTCTTCCCCAGTTTCAAGCTTGCTTCTCAGAAGGACAGAAGAAAGGCGTTAATATGGCCCATTGAAATAGCATGTCAGCAGAAAAATGTGTGTTTTGCTTAAACAGACTCAACAACTGAGAAGCTCCCAGCAACACCCCCTGGCAGCAGAGAAGTCACAAATGGGTGCTCACAACCAAGGTGTGCAAAGTCTCAGAGTGGCCAAGCAACCACAGTTGAGGCAGCACATCCCTTATGAGACCAAAACCTAAATTATAATGGCACATCCAAGCCATAACCCTACAGAAAGGAAAGTACAGCACAGTGCAAGAATTGACTCCTAGCAGAAAATGGCTGCAGTGCAGACAAGCTCCTCAACACAGCCTGTGCATGACAGCCACCAACTGCAGAACTCTGCCAGGCTGATCATGAGGTACTTGCTGTGCACCATCCCCTCATTAGAAGCATTAGGGCAGCTGCTGTTTGGTACCACCACCTCTTTCTCCTCTCACCCTCAGGTTCATAGGGTATTCATGGTTTGCAGACAAATTAGACAGAATAGCCTTAGTTTGCACCATTATAGCCCAAACTTTTTGCAAAGAATCCCTTGTCCTGTCTCCTGCCATCTTTCCCAACCCAGAGCATCACAGAAAACTTGCTTTTGAAACACAGAACAAAACATTGCATTTATTTTGAGTTCTCCCTCTATGCTGGAGTTTAGTTTGACTTCACAATTCATTATTAAAACCATTCTGCAGCAACATCTGCAGGGAATTATGTAAAGTTATCTCTGTGCGCTGCCAAGCCAGACTGAGGTTCACTCTTTCACTCACACCATCTGTAAAAATTAGGCAGTGCTTTACAGCTTGAGTTAACCCTTACAGGTGCCCCTGGCTCTCCGGCACCAAAATAACTCTAACACTGATGTGGCATGGATGTCTAGACTTAGATCCCAAGCCCTCATCTCTGATGAGGATTTAAAGGGAGTTTGAGCCTCACAGAGGCACAAAGGGGGCTGCAGCCAACGTGTCCAGACCAAGTTCAACCTGAGCTTTGCTGCATCACTCCAACTGCCTTAACACTAACCTAAGAACAGAAATTTTTAAGGTAGGAGTGTAATGTTCTCCCCACATATGTTGCTGCTTTGGTTGGCATCTGTCAGCATCCCTAGGCTGCAACAGCCAAGATATCTCCTCATTCAAAGAGTCCACCTAGGCTCAGATAACTCCCAGGCATTTCACAAGTTACCAAGAAACAGCCAGTTCCACTGGACAAGCTTATAATGCACATGGCAAGTTGGTGATTGCAAAATGGATTGGTCACACTGGATACTGACCAAATGAAAAAAATACTTGGACTTTAAAAAATCATGTTCTTGCTCATAATTGCATTCCAAGTCCTCTTCCCGAAAGGCTTTTGGAAAAGCAAAGCAATTAAGCAAATGTTAGCCACAACATGCATCATGGGAAACTAGTGGAGCACAGTTAAAGGAGTGTATTTTATGCCAGTTTTGCTCATGTTTGCATGCATCCTTACCCATCCATACTTCGATGGATGTTGCACATCAACAGGAGAACAAGCTATTCCCATTGAAGCCTGTCTGATCACAAGATGCTACAAAACACTTTAAATACATAAAATTGCAGGATCATGCTGAACTCTGGTTTCTAATTCTCTCCTCAACCATTAATTTCTCTGTAGACTTTGACTGTCATTTTATGAGCTTAACTAAAGTAAACAGGACTGATAGCACCGCTGTAAAAGGGCATGACTATTTCTCCAGCATGAGTAGACTACACGTTCTTCTAAACAAATACTTAAGTAACACTCCACGTCTCAAGAGTCTTGAAAAAATCCCACTCAAGCAGCAGTCTGGTACATTTGACACATGGTCTATGGGCTTCAGAGACCAGTTCATTTTTAAGTCCTTCTGCCTTGGAACTCTCTCTCGAGGTTTTTTTGATCCAACAACATAAATTGTCCTACAAAGCAGTACTAGGTGCAGTTAGGTCACTTCCAGAACAGTCACATAGACCTTTTCATGCACATGGCTGATTACTTCCCTCTAGAGATATGATCTACTTCATTAAAAACAGCTAAGACAAGGGTGCTGCTGCACAGTTGAGGGCACTTGCCTTTTTCAGCCCTCCAAAGCTCTTGCTACACACAGTACATATACATTTGATACACATAGGATAGTCTCAGTAATTGCCTCTGACAGACCTCTGATGAATATGTAGAAGCAGATGTATAAAGGCACCAGAAGTAGCTTTTACAAGAGGGATTTTCTGCAGTAACCTTATTCTCACACTCACTCCTGTGTCTGTGTGCTATTAGACACTACCATTGTCCATGCTGGCCCTGCTCACTGTAAAAGGCTTTTTCAGTCCCACACACTTGGAAAAGGCACAAGGTTGAAAACACTGAATTCATATGAAGGTCAATCTCCAATTGCTGAGAGTTTTATTCTTACAATTCACAGAAAAGGCATCTTTCTTTGAAATACGGAGATACATGCAGGAGGTCTTTCTAGCACAGAGCTGACTGCAGTTTAAGGGTACAGAAGTCTGTTAGTGACTCACTGCAAGGCAGACTAAGGCTGTCATCTTAGGATGAATTTTTAAAGCTGGTGAAATATTAAAGGCAGCTTTCACCTCAAAACACATAATGTTTCCCAGCCCGTGTGCACTGCAGTCTTCACTGCAGCCACCACTCAACCATGGAGCAATGTTTGTCTTGTTTAGAGATGAAAGTGGGG